AGAGAGAGAGAGAGAGAGAGAGAGAGAGAGAGTCACCTAACCAACATTAAATATTCTAAAACTAAGACGATGCAAATATATAAAATATACAGTACCTGCTCCTCCTCAAATTTCCTCTGAGATTCTTCCTCTTTTAGTCTGTCTTCTTGACGACGAGCTTCAGCTTCCTCAATAGCCTTCAGTTCCTTTTCTCTATCAGCTTGAAGTGATGCAAGATATTCATCATCCTGCATGTATCAAGTTAGTAAAACCATTAACACAACTTTTGGCGCACAACTTTTAGAAATTTCATCCAGTATTTAAAAACCTGTTGTTCCCGTATCAACCGCTGCGCTGTCAGAGAGGGTGAAGGAGGACGAGGTGCTGGCCGGGGATACGAACTCTCAGTTCGCATAAACTGATGAGGTGCATAGGGAAGGCGATATCCAGAACCTTCAGGAATTCCACCAAACATTGCAGCCTCAAGCATCACTGCTTCATCATGCTCCTCTGAAGAAATGCCTCCCCACTTCAATTATAAAGAATAATTGAAGGTCAACATTTAGTTGGTGTAAACATTTACTAACATGATCAATTAAAAATAATTTCGAATACTTATTCATAAATTATAATAACTTAAAAAGAAAGATACCTCATCAGTAGGGAAGACACTTCCACTGTGCCTAGGATGATTACCCATATCCTGCTCTCCAGGACTTGAAGGTGCGCTATCCTCAGTAGCTCCAACGTCTTTGGCAGACTCCACAGAGCCAGAGGACATTCGCCTGGACCTATGTCTGACAAGAGGCTGCTCCTCCACGTCTTCAGTTTCATCTTGGATGGATGAGCTTCCTCCTTCCAACCTGGATTCACTCAAAGCACCCTCATCAGAAATGATGTGTTTAACACTTAAATAGCAACACAAGATATATACCTTCCGTTTGGTGCCGTTAATTTTCCCAGCTCCACCTCAGCTGCCTTAGAAGCCCCCATCTCTGATGGGCCAACATTTTCCCCCTGACCACGCAATGCTTTCTCTTGCTCTGCTGTCTGGACTCAGTTCATGTCAAACGACACACTATGGATGCCAATAATAATAATAATAATAATAATAATAATAATAAAACAAAAAAACAAACAAAAAAAAAACCTTCAATGACAATGAAACCGCATGTGCAAGTTCAGGATCCTCTAGGTGAGGCGGCCTTTGCTGAGGCTCGTTATCATCAAACTGCTGCATCAAGATGAAATTAATACAAAGACAATCTTAGTACTAGAAAACAACAAACACGAGGTCCAACCCAACAGTGTAGGCTTGTCACATACAGTTGGTGCAGCAAATAGTTGATTTTGTTGGCTTTCTTCAACTTCACGTTTTGAAGCCTCGATGGCAGCTCGAATCATTTCTTCTTCGATATCATTGCTATAATCCTGTGGATCATCAAATCGAGGAGCACTAGGTCCAAAATTTCGGTGATGAGATCCATCACCTGAAGAAATATCTTGTGGCCCACTGCCTTGTCCAGCCTGAACAGTTGGGGCAGCTGGAACATCATCATCTTCATCATCAATTATAACAGTCCCAGGGATACCATCATCATCTTCATCATCAATTATAACAGTCCCAGGGATACCATCATCATCTTCATCATCAATTATAACAGTCCCAGGGATACCATCATCATCTTCATCATCAATTATAACAGTCCCAGGGATACCGGGGCCATATGCATGCGCTGTTCCAGTGACATCGTCAATAGTAGGAGCATGGCCAGAATGGCTGGAGGGATTGCCATCATCCTTGACTTCTATGGGGATCTCCCTGACCTCTCTTGGATGAGTAACAAATGGTGCACGTTCTCTAAAATCTGACCCACTTTCAAATATGCTGCTACCAAAGCTTGGATTAAGAAGAGAAAATGGATTTATATCACGGGTTGCAGATAGAAGTGATAGAGGATCTCTCCGAGGTCCAACTGGAACTGGATCATCAATATCCATCAAATCATCTTGAGCTGCAACAGGTGTTTCATGCACACTGGACATGAAATGATATCAATGTTAAAGCCGGAGATAAGTTCCAAATAGTTGATGATGTATCATACTAAATATGTTAAGAATGAGTAGCAGCAGATGAAAAGCATACTTCACTGATGTGTTTCTATCTCCTTCAGTAAAATGTGCATTCACAGCTTCATTGAGATCGCCACCATGCTCCTAATTGCAAGCAAACACAATGGAAGAAGATCTATAAGAAGCAATAAATTGGCCAACATGCTAAAGCTTTTTTCTTTTATTTATCTATTTGTTTTTTAGACTTAACCCTCTAATAGTCAAACAAGAAAGAGCATCCTCAAAAATCCAAGAGACTAAAACACAAAACTACTCTAATAAGGATCTAAATAGTTCACTTGTAAAAGTAGTTAGGTATGCATCAATCATAATCTATATGAAGGCTGTAGCCTGTATCAGATGGAGCTGAAGTGAGTTTTCTTGCTCACCCCAAAGCATTCAGGTTTATCCAGCCACAACTCCAGAAAAATTAGTTGCACTTTAGATACAATTAGATATATTAATAGGGAAAATTATATTCCAAAGGTTTCAGAAAGGTTAGACTCAATCAAGTACAAAAGAAGCTAACCCTGCTGTAATTTCTACTCCAACTAGTTGCAGAGATATCCACAAGGCCAACTGAAGTGCACACCTTGTTCATTGCTTACCATTCAATAGTTACCACTCTATTCACTAGTGGGTCTAACCAAATACACTTGACCAAACTTTCAACACCCAAAAATTCTGCAGGTACCAGTACATTCACAACCCTTCTATTTTGTTTGGTCAAACAATCAATTGTACAAGCCAACCCTTCTCCAAACTCTATATAACAACCTCGACTGTTGAACCGTTCAAAGAGAATACTAAAAGCATAAGTCTTTAACTGTATAACAGTAATCTCATTGTCCTAAAAAAAACCATCTATTCCTCTATCCAATCACAACGCTTGTAAAATTCTTCAATTTTTTTTT